AGACAGAGTTGAGTCTCAACTTTTTAGAACACAAGTTTAGGTTCAGTCTGAAGGCTTTTGTGTTGCAGCTTCAATGTCATATGAGTTTAAGTTGAAGATTTTAGTTCCATCTCTTACATCTTAAAATGTCAATAATGTAGCGCAGCTTGTTCACAAGAAATGCATTTAGCTTCTATTGACTTGTTCCTTTGCATAAATACCCGACTCTGGAATGTAATTCAGGTTAATCTGGTAAGAAGTCTTTTCAGTCAGTTGAAGAAGTTGGATGCTTTTTGTAAAATGAATACTTAAGCAAACTTTCACTTGTTTGCTCTAACAAAACTAAATATGACAACGTTTTTACCAATAATTCCACTGAATAAAATGCTCTGATGCATGGTTAGGGTGTTCCCTAGCTTTCACCCAATGACTGCTGCAGATGGGCCCCAGACCCCCCTGAGCCAGTGAGATTAATCAAGTATGGGAAAACGATGCATGGGTAGATTCTATCCTGAAAGAGAGCATGACCCTAATTTTCCTCTCAATTCAGGTCAGTCTGGAGAGACAGTCAGTAGCTCAGGAGGAGAAAGTATGTCCTGTAACCACTTGAAATCCCCCGCTCTGTCCATCTCTGTTCAACCTTGGTAATACACCTCACCTGCCTTAGGTTCTTCTGATAGGAGGGAGAGGTCAAAGAGCAAGCAAATTTACCATTTTAAATTCAAAAATACAAAGAAGATGAGTAAAAACAATTTGTGGCTGGTAGCAACATGGCACTAGAGTCTGAAAAATTTTCCAAAATTTGGGATACATGACTGGAACAGATCTTTCAGGTTTAATTGTTACTACATTTGAGTTATATTCTTATAAATGTGTCCGGTGATGGTAAATTAAGACAAGTCGATTTTGGGGTATTTTGCCTTGTTCACTGATTTGGAAAGTGTGATTTCCAAGTTTTCCAATGATATGTCAGGCATGAAAATCAGATTTGTCTTGGAGAGTCCATGCCATCTGAAAGCATATACCGTATTTTCACGACCATAAGGCGCACCGTACTAAAAGGCGCAGTCTCAGTTATATGTCCCATTTCTGTATTTAACACACACATAAGGCGCACCGGACTATAGGGCGCATTTTTTATATACAGGTACATGTCCTCTACTACCTTTAAATACCTCTACTGCGTATTTAAAAATACAGCGGGGGCAAAACTGAGTATGACTGTGCTTTATTCATGTATTTTTTACAAAGTATTAATCAAACCTGGCAGCTGGCCGTGAGACAGACACATCGTAGATGACACAGCGCTGTGGTCACTCCTAAATTAACTTAAAATCCTGAAACCTGCCGACGGAATATGTTCGCTTTTATTACCGGTATCCTGGTGCCTGCAGCTAAAATTATTTAGATGAAAAACACCTGCCAGCCACCGCGTGAACCCGGAGGCTGCCCAGCCTAGAGGCTGCTGATGAAGGGATTTCTGCTGTCGGTGTACCGCTGGTATGTGGGGGTCTGAGCGCCTCCAACAGAAATAGATAATCTGGATGAACTGACTGCAATTATTAAGTTTTCAGGTGGACTTTCTCAGTTAAAAACATGTTAAAACTACTTTATTCCCACTGATCACAGCAAATATAGCTGCAAGATTTAGATTATTTAGATGAAAAAACACCTGCCAGCCGCCGCGGTGAAACCAGAGGCGACGCGGCCCAGATGCTGCTGTTGAATTAAGTTTTCAGGTAGAAAAATAGAGCGGGAGCAAAATTGAGTATGATTGTGCTTTATTCATGTATTTATTACAAAGTATTAATCAAACCCATCAAAGTCATCATCCTCTGTTATCCTCAGCATTCCTCTGAATAAAACAGCTGCGCTAAATCAGACATGCCAGTTTCCCCTTCTTCGCTGTCAGTCACTTTCCGTGCAGCGCAGCTCCTCAGAAATAATGCCGGCTTTTGCAAAAGCTTGAACAACAGAGCCAGCAGACACGTTAGTCCAAACATCTACAATCCATCCGCAAACGGTGGCGTAACTTGCCCGGCGCTGCCTTCCACTTATCCTGAAACTGTGGTCTCTGTCTGTCATCCATCGCTCCCACGCCGCTCGCAGCCTTTCTTTGACGGCCGCTTCACACCGATGTCGAGCGGTTGAAGTTCCTTTGTCAGACCCCCGGGATAACGGCGAGCACAGCGTTCATTTGATTCACCTTTTTTTTCACATCGGCTGTGAGATGGGCACGCAGCGATGGTGATGCGTGGAAAAAACCACCTGGTCTCCTCACATACACCTCCCTCAGCCACACTTTCATCATCTCCTCATCCATCCAGCCTTTTCCATTTAATATCATATGTCATCAGAGCGCTGTGTCTGTCTCGCTGTCAGCTCCCAGATCAGCTTCTCTGATTGGTTGATGCGGCGCGTCCAGCAGCAAAACTTCAATTTTTCCATCTCGAGCAGCAGCAGCGCGTTGGCGGTGCGTCAGATGCTTAAACGCTCCCGACGTGCTGCACCTGCTGCTCAAAACGCGCTGCGGGACCTTTTGCTGCACCTATACGCGCGTCAACCATTGACTTTGCATGTAAACTCGCTGCTTCTGCTGCACCTGCTGGGTCCGGTTCACACCGATGTCGAGCGGTTGAACAGCGAGCACAGGGTTAATTTGTTTCCCCATGTTTTTCACATCAGCTGTGAGATGGGCACGCATGGGGTTACATATTAACAGCGATGGTGATGAGTGGAAAAAAAAACACCTGGTCTCCTTACATTCAGCCACTCTTTCATCATCTCCTCAATGAGGTGGTCTCAAAAGTCGCAGTTACAACACACATAGGGCGCACCGCACCATAGGGCGCACCGCACATTTTGAGGGAAAAAAAAAGACGTTTAAGTGCGCCTTATAGTCGTGAAAATACGGTACCTTGAAAAGGTTGACATGAAGAAATCTCAATCTGAAGATCAAACTTTTCACCTCCGTCTGCTGCTGGGAGTTATGATGCTCATTTTCATCTCATTTAGAGAAGCTACACCCACTTTTGACATATAATATAATAGACATATAATATCTGAATGTGGTGTACAAATAATTAATTTCTGAATTGTGTAAATCTTATTTTACTTTGGCCGCACATTTTAAGGCTACTTTAAACTTTTACTTAAGTAGTAATTGAATCTGATACATTTACTTTGATGGTAATAAATCCTTAGCAAGAATATTAAGTAGTACTCCCTCCACCATTGGCTAAAATTGTTAGCATTAAATTCAATTCAAGAATGCTGACAGGCATGTTCAGGTGAGTAATAGCTAACGCACGTTGGAATGAAAACAAATAAAAAAATATATATAATGTATGGAAACACCCCATAAGAAAGAGAAACGTATTTTTGTAGATCTCTTTGCCTCCAATGAAGTAATTAGTATGGAAATGTTTTTACTTTGCTGGTTTCTTTTTTGTGGTAGTAATCATCTGGGAAGTTTGCATTGTGCGTCTATTTGCCTCTAAATGTCCAATAATTTGCATGTCCTGCCACTGTCTTTCCAAAGCTAAAGAATCCAGCCATATGTTGACAGAGTCTGGAGTAAGCTTCTGGCTACAGGACTGTTTTTCTACTCAGAGTACACTTTTCTTCCGGTGTAGCATTTACAGTCAAAGTTACAAATTTTCTCAATTTCTCTGTCATCTTCCCCATCAACAGTTACTATCGATATAGCCTCTGATATCTTACGGTCTAACTTGTCTGACGCTAGTCCAATACAATCTTCCTCGTTTACATCTTCACTCAGTTGTAGAATTGGGATATTATCCAGTCTTATCATGTCGCCTTCATCGTCACTAAGATAGTCTTCAAAATCAGTGTAGCTTGTGTTCATAAGCATCCGGCTTGTTGAAGAAATACTTCAGAACACTCTCGGCGTAACGTCCTCGGTTCAGCTCTTCTGCAACGATCTTTGCAGTGAATATTCAGTGAATGTTGATACAACAGTCATTTTGCTGCCTAATATCAGCCACGCTATTCGCTTGGAAGGCGGGAGCATTAGCAAAGGAAACAAAGGACAGCTTACAGACAGACAACGACACGTCCCCTCTACATATGAAGAAATCTCCTAATAACAGCCTATTTCAAGCCTAAAATGTACTCTTTTAAATACAACACCGAGACTAGAAAAAGCAGATAATACAAAAAAAAGCGAAAATCACCAAATTTGAAAAGAAAAAAGAAAAAAACCTTTTCTCAATTTGCACGAAAGTTGTCCTGCCAATTGTGTCCCTGGATTCCATGACGCATCACAAATGTTGAGCTCTTTGGAAATGCATGTCAGCAGCACCAGTTTCCCAAAGCTCAACTTATACGTTTTTTATTTCGATTTTAGTTAAGTATATAAAAGCTGTAGTTGTTTATTACTTCAGCTACAAATCAATGCTTGCAAGGAGCAAAAGCAGGCAAATGTCTACATTAAGTAAAGGATTCATTTCACTAGGGTTTTCACAACGATTGTTTGAAAGTGTCAGGAAAACCTTAGAGGGAGTGGAAGGGGTTAGGATCTGGAAGCAAATTTTACTGTTTTGTTTGTTTTCTAAGCTTGCTCTCTGCCGTCGGGGCTGTAGCGTGTTCTCCTGCCTTAGTGAGCCGATGAAAGATTTCACAGCACAGGGTTCACATTTTCACAGCATTTTCCTCATGAATTTGTGCAAATAATGAGGCAAATGTGTTTAAGAACACAGTTTTCATGACCGTTAGGCTCATTAAATGTCAGAAAATCTGCATAATTCTGTTGTACTTCTAAAAGTTTCCACCCAAACCAGTTTTTGTCCTTAACAGTACTGAGGAGAAAGCCTAGATGTCAGTGAACGGACGGATACACTCATAGAAAATGAGTGCATCAGCCTGATTTTCAGGTTAACACTGCCTTGTTTTACAACAAAAGATTGTAATTTTTTCTTAATCAATGAAAGAATCCAATCCAGAGAGATGCACACAATATATACCATATTTTGGTTAAGTGGTGTGGGGTGACAGAATACCTGGCGTAGTTGAAGAGGCGGCTGTCCCACAGACTGTGCTCTCCTCTTGGTGGAGAGTGAAAGAAGCAGGAGTCAGACCCATCAAAGGCATTAAGGCCGTCTTCCGTGTTCTTGGAAGCATGACTGTGGACCACATCCAGCAGCACCACAATACCCATTGAATGAGCTACATCAATCAGCTCCTTTAGCTCCTCTGGGGTACCAAAGCGACTGCATGAACAAAAGGCAAACAATGATTAAGTGAACAAAAATATTTCCTTTTAAAATAAGTAAATGTTAGAACATTTGAACAATATTAAATAAGGGTAAGATTTCAAAGGGCATAAATAACATTGTAAGGGACTGTAACTACACAAGCAATTTGCCTATCAGATTAATAAAGTATAAAATTACAATATACACCCTATCCTGGATATGATACTGATGCAAAGACAGTATATAAAATAATGAATAAGGAACTCTGGACGATGATAAAGACTCACACTGGTCTGTCTTTATCTTTGAATCCCCACAAGTCTGCGGATTAACAGCAAACATGTTTACCAAGAGATTACTGATTGTGTCAGACTTCATAACCTTGATTTAAGGTGACTGTGTCGAAGCGCCTCGCTCAGTTTATGACTGAGTGCAGGTACAGATACTATATGGAGAGGATAAAACTGTATAAATGGAGAAAGTCTGCAACAAATACACCTTTGAGTTCTAATCCCTCATAGTTCACTCCTGGTTGATTTGTTAACACCTGTGGTTACTGAAGCAGGTCATAGTGTAAGCCGAACAAATGTAGCTCAGAGGATTCATCTCACTGCATTTATTTATTTGATTTACTTTCAGTTTTTGGTCAGAAATTGACAGGGAAGTGTTGTTCAGCATTCTAATTTCAGGATTAATGCACAAATGCTGCCAGCAAAGGGATATGAAACGTGCATATGGATGAGTTTATGAACTATATATGAGCATATAATCCTATTACCAAACAACTACCAAATGAATATTAGGTCTATTGCTGTTTAAACAAAGCAGACAATACAAAATAATTACTTGGAACAATTTGGTCTGTCAGCAGTAAAAATAATTATTAAAATGAAGCTTTACCTGGATGCGGCAAAGAAACTTGTAATCTGATATCCAAAACTTGCATAGTAGGCATGCTCCATGATTGCCATCAACTGTATACAGTTGTAACCTGGATGAAATAACATGAAATTAAAAAGCCATTTATCACTTAGAGCATTTCATTTGCACTTCTAGCACAATTATTCATCGTACTAAGACCTTTTATTTACCTTTGTTACTTTACAAAACACAACCCTAAAGGCATTTTAATACGGCTTTGTCTGAACAACCAAGAGAGTGCTATGGATGAGTAAGAATTAAGCTTAAAATGTATGGTAAAAAATTAAGGCAGCACATAACCCTGAATCAGTAAGGGTATGGTAGTTGCGCTAATATAAGTGAACGGGAAGCAAGATAAAGCTAAACACAAGGCAACTTTAAGAAAACCTATTGGAGGCTCTAAATGTCTTGAAATTGAGGAAGACGTTCACCTCCTAGCATGACATAGACCACAGAACTCCATGCATTTTTTAATAGAGCTCTCTTTGACTGTTAGTTTTGACAAAAAAAAAAAGATCATTAGATCAAGTTCATAGTCCAACTTTTCGATACCCATCTCATCTATACCACTCCAAACTACTCCTCTCTGTTCAATTACAGCACATTGAATTGTCTTCTTATTGAAATGTGCTAAAAGAATAAACTTCCCTTGCATTTTATGCACATCGTCTTAAAAACGTCAAGTAAATACTTAACACACTTAGGAAAAAAAAAATAATTTAAAAATGCTTGTTGACACAATATCCAATGACAACATTATAACTTTGTCTATTTTCAATGTAAGAAAAGGAAAATAATGTACTGTAATGTTTTGTCATTGACAAGTAATAACATCAAAGGTCAATGTTATTGTGGATATGTTGCCAATATAATACAGTAATTTGTACCAGCAAGGTTTTTGAAGTGGTTTATCCAAACAAAGTTGAAAAAGTAAAAAATCAAACCACTGGATTTGTTTTCCAAGTTTGAAGATGGTGCACTTCCCATCCAGGAAGATTTCTCAATTCAAATGTTTGGATTAGCGTTGAGTACCAAGCTTTATGCAGTAGCCCAACAAATCATTGCTATGACTTAGAAAACATGCAAATTTAACCCAAAAAAAAAACAGGTCTGCCCCTTAGGAATGGGGAGTTATCTTTTTCCAACCTTCTGTATCTAAAAGAAAGGAACTTCTGTGCCTCTAATTCATCAAAAAACAGCTCAAGATGTCAACCCATATAAGAAATGGCTATTAGGATTTGAATTTAAGTTAAGAAGTCAAAGATTATTAATAAGTTATGGGCGTGGACTTTGATTAGGCCGTTTTATCATTTCACAGTGGATCTGGTTACAGTTTTAGGGTAGTTGAGCTGGTACAAAAGCATCCCTGTGAAGTATAATTTCTTTCCTTCCCCCCCCCCCATCATTACAATGTCATAAGTACAGAGCAACGAAATGAACCATCTGATTTTAACCCATCCCCTTGGGGAGCAGTGGGCTGCCATTGTGCGGCGCCTGGGGAGCGGTGTGAGATTAAAGGTCTTTGCTCAGCGACTCAGAGTGGCAGACTGTGGGAGTGGGGCTTGAATTCAGAACCTCTGGATTCCAAGCTCTATGCCCACTCCCCAATTGCTTTCGGGTGTCCGAGAAAATGGTCACGATGGATTAAAAAGAAAGGGAAAAAAAAAAAATGGAAAAACAAATGAAGGAAATAACACTGCACATGACAACCAAAAACTCAGGAGCTCCACTTGCAAGCAGGACTTTTAAGTCTACATAAAAAAATGAAATAAAAAATCCAAGCTGCATAAAAATCTTCCCCCTGTGTGTTGATAAACACCCTCTCTCTCATATTTCAAACTCATCTTGGATCAGCAAACCAATAACATTATATGTCTAGACTTGAAAAAGAGGAGAGCAAAGCAATGCTTGCCTCTTCACGTGGATCACGAATGTGCCACGTCTCCACATTTTAAAGCCGATGAGATAGTGCTTTCTGCTTTGGACTTACTCCCCTACAGCAGTTCAGCAAAAGTTTAAATTCAGGTCAAATTCAGTTCAACTTGCAGAGAGGCTGTCAGTTTTGTGATTATATTTGGGTGTTTTTTTAAGCAGCGATGAGAAGTTATATCATCAAAATGCATTGCTTATGACTTAAAATGTCAATTTTAACTATTATTTGTACTTTATTTTGTTATTCCTTTAAAGCTTTGCGCAATTAATGAAGAACCAAATTGGCATCATCTCCAACTAGTTTCTCGGCTGGAGAAAAACATCCCTACAGACTTCAGTTTGATGTGAAGTGTGTTACATAAAGGAGAAAACAAAAATAGTTATGCACTACGGCTGTGCAATTTATTGCAATACAATCACAATTTGGCAAAACGCAACTTGCCAACCACAGAAACACTTAATTTTTGTCACATTATATTGAGCAAAAGTAACACTTAATTTCATTCTTACAGTCCTTCAGGTGTCGGTAATTTGCCACTGGGTTGCCACAGCAAAGAAGGGAAGAGAGAGTAGATCCATGCATGATAGTAGAAGTAAGAACTCTTAAGTGTTACAGTTAAGTCCTGAAACAATGGACTGTACAAGCGTGCATTCAAGGTCATAAAATCACTAAAAGCCTGCGGTGAAACATCTACATGCTTGTATTTAATGCACGCATAGGTAAAAAAAAAATTGCAATAAAATTCCAATTGCAATACTGGTTGAAAATAGTCGCAATGTTGATTTTTTTGGCAAAATCTTTCAGCCGTATCATACATTGCATTGAATTGTGTTGCAACAAGAAAAAAAAAAGGGAAAATATGACGGCGAATAGAGTATTTTTGGAATGCACACATTTTATCCATTTATTGTTGGTAGAACTGCTAAATAATACCTCAGTCCGGTCAGCTTCTCCTTTCATATTATTCACTTAATAGACACCTGCTGCTTGAATCATTTCCAAAACAAGTATGCAGTGCATTAGCCACACGGCAAAAAGCAAAAGTATTATATGACAGTTTCCCTTATGGGGATGCTGTTAACTGCATAAATTTTACACAAGCCATGGGAAAACTAGTTTCTTTTCTCTCTGAAAACCACGATTCTCTGTCTAACCTGTGCCACTCGAAGTTAACTAATGAGCTCGAGGCATTTCCTCTTTGACACCAGCTCTAGCGCATTCATACAAGCTTAGGCACAAAGGAAACGGTGTCTATTAGAGTTAGGAGGTCATGTAGAACATTTCAAAAAGACTTGGGAAAAACAGTGTCTATGGATAAGAGAAAAACAAGCTCCTAAAGTGCCACTGAGCACTCCACTGGGAGGTCCCAAGGTTTTTCACTGTTGTCTGAACCCCATTTGTTTATATATATATTTATATATCTTTCAGGCTAGAGGGAGGAAAGAAAACTTTACCTCTGAAGAAGTATGACAAAGCACAGGAGTGAGAGGGAGTTTCTCTTTTCTGAATTTATACTGTAGATGCACACCCTCCTCAGTCAAGAAAATGAAATGGCAGGCAGAGTCAGCCATCACTGGAGACAATGGAATTTAGCCTCGCAGTGAATCCTGTTGTGCAAAATCCCTGAGCTGCTCCAGGTGGATTCTTTGACAGCATTTAATCTGGCAGTTTCTTTACTCGCTAAACAAGATGACACAAGCAGGAAAACAGCATTTATCACACGTCTCTGGTGTGCTGCACCAGTTCAATTGGAGCCTTACAATAAAGCGAGGCCAAGCTGGCATGCTTCTATACAAAATAATGCAATGCTTCAGCTGCAGAGCTACACAGTTATACAGTACTGAGTTTAAACTGAGACTTAAAAATACAAATTATTTGTTCACTGTGGTCCAAGATCCAACAATTCCAAAGGGCTTATACACACAGCGGAAAACAGATGTTTACAATGCATGTCCTTTCATGCATTTGCTAGTTTTGTTAATTTTTATAAAGGATGAAAACATTTTCATTTGCCAGTGTAAACAAAATGGTTTCATTTATTATACATCCCTCAACTAACTACTGACACCCAGGGTAGAACTCTTGATATCAGTTCTCTTCAGAGGTGTCAAACGACGAAGTACAAATACTTCTTTTCTCATATCATTTTATTTTTTTAATTAATTATTTTCAATTCAATTAATCAGAGTTGTCAAGTAACAAAGTACAAATACTTCGTTACTGTACTTAATGTACTACACTTTTCAGGAATCTATACTATACTCCATTTCTTATTTTTCTTCCTAATGCTGACTTCTACTCAATTTTTTCACAAGTATCTGTTCTTTCTATTCCTTATATTTTTAAAACTAATGTTACTTGGTGCTCTTGGCTTCGGTTTAATGTTTATAAATATTTATTTTGTGCCATCCAATGCAGATCATTGACACCATCCACATCTAGTCAAAGCTAATGGAATTTGATGAGTCATACAACGCAAACACTTATTGGTTAGCTATTTGTCAAATTTGTGCTGACTCCAAAGAAAATCATCAGAATCAAGCAGGTGTTCTTCAAACTGCAAACGTGAATTGTCTAGGCCATGCGACAATGTCGGATTCAGAAAAAGATGTTGAAATGTCTGAAAGGTCGGACACAGGCGAGAGCATATCCGGAGAAGGAGACCAACAAGTCCTCCCTCATCCTTGGCCCTATCTCAAAGAATTTTTCAAAAATAGTCAAACAATTTAGCTTTCAATTCATATTGTGGCATATGGCTGTTTTTTTTAAAGGTTACTTTATACTTTTATAATTTAAGTATTTTTTTGGAGCACATTTTCATTTTTATTTGAGTAAAGGGGTCAAGTTGATACTTCAACCTTTACCAGAGTGTTTTTAAACTGCAGCATCTATACTTCTACTTAAGTAACAAATGTGTGTACCTTTCACACCACTGGTTCCCTTATATGACATCCAATCCCAGGCTAAGCCAACAACAAAAATCAGATGCAGTAACTCCTTTTCAACCTGAAGAGGGCACCAAACAGGCAGTCTTAGACACAAATGCAGGACTTCCACAAAAAAGTAGAAGGGGGTTGGGGGGGGGGGGCTGCATTCCTGTGACTGGATCACCTTTTTTTCACCTTTTTTCCCAAAATAATCTTTGCTGAATTTGCTCAAAGCTACAATGTACCTTGCTGCCACCAGAACGCCTTCAAATGTGAATTACAAGTTTGGCCCCCAGGAAGGCCACTGGTGACAATACATCACAAAATTAAGCAGTGTTCAAATGTGTTTTGGAATCTGTCAGCAAACCAATTTGGCTCAGTAAACTAAGAAGTTAAGGAGTACCTTGCAAAGATAAGGCCACATTCACCCCTCTAGATTAAAACCTACATCAGAGACGAAAAATATGTGTGATCAGGTAAGGGTTATATCTCTTTTGTTGCGCAAGAACAACTTTTATCTTAGTTAGCTCTTCTGTTAAAGGGAGCTCAGATTGCCTTATAGCACTGCTCTGGGTCAAATGACTCATTCAGCAACAGATCCAAATGTCTCAATTTAAATAGTTGAAGTTCTAAAAGGGCAACCCTCACCGAGCATCGACACATACCAAGTGGTATATACTGATCTGAACATTTTTTATAATATATTTAAAACTAAGCAACTGGGTTAAAGGTTAAGCTGTGTTGCTTTAATCTTAATATTTTAACAGCCCTACTTGATCTCAGTGCAGCATTTGATCAAGCCAAACTAAAAACCTTACTGAGCAGTCTGAATTCTGACTGGTATATCCAGCTCTGCATTAGATTTTCTACTTTTTATCAGATAACTTCCACAATGAGGACACTTTCGCCTTCATAAAGTCTGATGTTCTCAGACAATTGTTCTTCTTACATAACCCCATTAGCTTACATACAGTCCTTTTAAAAATGTCCTACCGCATGTATGCAGATGACATCTAGTCACATTCATCTAATCCCCAAAAGGCGAAAATGCTCTTAATTTTAATGCATTGTTTAACCAGAATAGGATGCCTCTCTTATTAATAACAGGTCCTACTGATCTGCATTCCAATATCAAACAGACACTTTTTCTTCTTGCTCAGCAGTTAAGTCCAAAGTATAATTCTTGTAATTTTATTTGAGTCAAACTTAAGGCTATGTCTTGAATATTGGATACATTTCCTATCCCTGCGTCTTTCATTTAGGAATCATTTCTGAATTACAGTATATGCTTTCGTGTGCATATTCTTCCACTTGCATTTTTGTACCCATATTATTGCAATGCCTGACTTACTCTACCCTACTGTTTTAGGATAAATAAGCAAATCTGTATGCCTTTTAGAATCAACAACCAGACTTCTCATAAATCCATAAAACAATTTCCAAATCAACCCATTTAATGAAGATTAGAAGAATTTGTTTTATAGTATCTGTATTTAATAACTGAGCTGGAAATGGTAAAGCTGCTGCTTATCTCTTGCTTTATCACTAAACACACCGCCTGGTCCCTTTCAATGACAGGCTCAGAATCTGCTGGTGGTTCCTGATGAAAGGCCAAACACTACTAGGAAATGGGGGCTTCCACTTCTTGGGTCTTAGCTGTGGAATACCTTGGATATAAATTTTCATTCTGCTGATTCTGAAGACTTAAAAACCATTCAGCCATTTTTTAACACATAATTGTGTAGTAGTAGAATTCCACACCAAAAATAAAAAATCCAGTCTTACAATTCAGTACAAGTAGATATTCCCACCTTAAGAAAAAAATGTACATAGCGATCAGGGTTGCACCTTTCTGACACTCAAAACAATTAATCAAACAGTAATTAATAGGTATTAGGTACAGAGTATTTTTATCACAAACAAAGCATTTGACTTAATTTTCACTTTGCTTTCAATGAAGCCATTTACCTTTAAATATATGAAAAAGGGAAGTGTGACTCTCCCCCTCCCATGCATGCGTCATAAAAGGTGTGACAGGGTTGGTATAATCATGCACGGTACTGATCTGAGCACTCTGTCATGTGTTTGTTAGACCGACAGTCAGGGCATGTAAGGTCTCCAGAGATTTCTCTACTGTTCTTATTTTGAAGTTAAAATGAATAACTTAAGAGTTGCAATAAGATAAAAGTATCAGATCTAAATCCATTTTTTTCCATGAAATTGTTGCACAAAAATAATGATACGATTAGCACACAGCTTGAAACCCTTATTCACATCGTAATGCATGTGCCTCAGATAACTGTTGCTTTTAAATGTTTTAACAACGTGTGTTCCTATTCCATGGCACCGTTTGGCAGCTTGCTTAACGGTTCTGTTAACGGTTCCAGGCAGCACCAGAGCCTAGCCTTGCGTCACATTTTTACGCAAGTTACGTCACGTGGTGGCAAGTAGCCAGTTTTATATCACTGGCTGTGCTTAATGTGGTTCCTGGTAAATCATAACATTTCTGGAAAGAAACCAATTTCCTACCTCTCTTTGGGGTTATTAAACATGCTACGAGGTTCTGCAGTTAAGGAACCAAGAGAAAGGTGATGCTCGTTTATTTAAATCAGGGGGGGATGAGTTTATTTCCCGAAATTGTACAGTAATGCTTTTTCATTAAACGGATGCCTTCTCCATTGGATTTAGATGACTGTGACGAGATGGGTAGCCTGGCTGACTCAGCGGCTGCAGCTCCCGTTCACTGCCTTCTTTTTTCGCCAAAGCAGACAGAAATAGAATGTCCCAGGCGAAGTTAGACGAATGTCACCGTGCACTTACAAAGTTCATTGTTTCACAGAATCCATAAGGAATCGAATCGTTTCACAGAATCGATAAGGGAATCGGAATCATGAAAATCTTATCAATTCCCAACCCTAGTCAGGCATGCTGAACATGAATGCACCTCCCTTTCCTGAACTGATATGATAGTAGCAGGCCTAGACTGATAATGTGTGTTACTTATACAAGCGGAACATAAAGCTGGTGAATGCAATGAAGTAATGTTCAATTGAAAATTTAAGTATGTACTTACACACCTTATGTCGTCAGATATTTTAGGCACAACCGACAGAAATAGTTCACCAGAGAGTTTCTTTTATGACTTGACTTGTTTCACAGACAACAAAATTACACAAGCAGGGTGCATCGCTTCAAGTTTTTTCCATCACATCTGTAGGTATCAAATTGGTTCTAACCTGAAGACACTGCGCCTTATTGTCCCGCCTTGGAAATCCAGCTCTTTACCAAGCCAAATAAACCTAAATATTAAAGCAGCGTGTTGATACTATATGATGCTATATTACTTGGTGTATTTTTTTTTTAATTCAAAGTAACTCAATAAGAACTCAGTAAATAAATTATATGAATCCAAAAATGTCTAAAAGACTGCAACAAAAAGCAAACCAGTAGCCATCTCAACAAATCTTTAAGCCAGTAATGAGGGACATCTGTTAAAACTGTTAAAACAGTTTATGACATAAGAAACATTGCCAGATTTAGACTGCCTGTAAGATGTGTCACCAAATAGGTAGAAAATAAAAATAAAAGGTTATTTTCTTCACTGTTGGTCGTCTAAGTCATATTTTAGGAAAACTGAAGGGAAGTGGCAGTTCAGTTGTGTGCTGTGACTTGAGCTTTAGAAAGCCTCCTTACAAAGAAAAGCCCAGTGGTCAGTGATCCCTTTAGGTTGTGTCAGTACACAGAATGTAGGCCTGTTTAGGTGATGTTATGCAAAGGGATTGTGACAGGTGTGCAGAGAAATACTGCTCCTGGAGAAACAGTGGCACTCACTGCAGTAAACCCTATCTGCTATGTTACGGAATAGACCTGACAGAAACACTGGCAGCTGTTTTTAAATTAAGAGATAAAAAGTTTACATTTCTTGGATTTCATTGTTTTCCTTGCAGATCATTGGGTCAGAACAGAGTTACACAAATGCTTTTTACATTCACCTGATCTCTGTATGGAAAGCACAGAGTTCATTTCTAACTCCTTGTGAAATCACTCCGAGCAACATGAGGAACTTTAAACTGAACAACAAATCAATTAAAGGACCTAAAAATAAAAATCTCTTAAATTTTGTGTTTTCATATCTTTACCCAATTCTTTTATTCGAGGGAGCACGTTGTGCGTGAAGTTTGTGTATGAAGCGACCTTCGGCTCTGGGGATCCGATACCAACATGGGCTTCATATATCCTCAGACTCAGTGGTTTCTTAGGCCGAGGATGGACGTGCTGCAGGAAAAAAGGAAAAGGAAAATGGGCATAACAGTAATATTATGATAAAGATGATGCAGCACATAAGTAAGCAATTACAACAAAAGAAAATTAATTTCGGCATCTTTGCTCAAACATTTTATAACAAATTCTTCCATATAATGTAATTCTACAGAAGTGTATTGCATTCATCAAAGAAAAAAATAAAATCTGACAGCTTATGTCATAATTTCGAGACCAGTATTTCATAATTATGAGATCTTTTCTCATAGGTAGGAGATACAATCTCATAATTACAAGATACTGATCTAAATATTATGAGATCTTATCTCATAATTACGAGATAAGATATCATAACTATGAGATAATATGTCATACTTAGGAGATCCGGAAGGACACTGATTGCTGAGGTACGCTACATGAAACGCGAAAAATTAGTGAATAGTCAGATTTAATATGTTTTTATTTCCTTTAAGGTATGCGGCACTGGAAAATACTGAGTTTCTTCAACGTGGATGGAATTAGTTTTAGTTTGTAAGCATTGCGCAGGTACCATAAGTACTTAAGATTTTTTAGGCGTCTCTATAGAAACCCGGTTCCCAACTTGGTGCGGCATGTCGATTCATATGACACACTAAAACCATATGGAATCTGTAATAATGGAGCTGTTGACGGCTTTTCGCATATGGTCTTATGGCTGCATGCTTACTCCACAAGTAGTAATCTCAGGGTTATGCTGGTTACTTTATTGATTAAGTGAAAACAGGAGTGGAACTGCAGATATTTTCAAGAAGTAATCATGAAGACCAGTTTTCTGCAAGATATATAGATAAGATGTCGTAATTACGAGATCACACTAAGACATCTTATTTCATAATTATTAGATCATATCTCGTAATTATGAGATTTGCTGTCTGTTGTATTTTCTGTTTGGTGAATGCAATATGCTTCAGTATCAATCATGTCACAACTATACACAAAGTAGAGCACAATTGTAAAGTAAAGGGAAAATGACACATAATGTTTCTCAAATAAAAGTCTGAAAAGTGTGCCACTTATATGTATTCAGTACACAGCACTGGAAATCACCACAATAAATTGTATAAAACCTAAACCTTCAGAAGTCACCTTATTAGGTAAAATACATGTAATAGAGTCAATCTGTGGACTATTAAAATGCAACCTTTCAGTGAAGGACTTAGGAATTTAGCAAACAAATATTAACATATAGAGCAGGGAACACAGCAAATCAGTCAGAATTAAAGTTGCAAAGAGGTTTGGGTTAAATTGCCAAGGTGGAAGAGCTGCACAGGTCAACTGCTCTGGTGGGAGAATCTGTTGACAGGATAACTACAGAATAAGCTGTGCACTCAACAAATCAGGGCTTTAAGGAAGGGTGTGTGTGTGGGGGGGTCATTATTGAAAGAAAGAAAATAGGTCCCATTCGGCATTCACCACAAAGCCATATAGGGGACACAGAAAACATGACAGAAGGTGCTCTAGTCAGACAGAAAAATCCTAATCATTATCCTATTGGCCAAACACACTGCAAAAAACACAACAAAACTACACTATAAATCAGTCTGAAAATAAAAGATTATATCAAATGCATGTATTTGAATAACCCAGTTACCTAGATCCATTTAACATCTATGGTGGGACTTGAAAATTGGTGTTCAGATGCTGCGAGGCGCTATATGGGCGAAGCTTATAGACGTAGCCCAGATACTTGCTGTAGTGAAAGCTGCTCATGCTAATTTACACCCAAGGGTGTTGAATATAAAAATGCATGCAACACGTGCAGTTTTCTATAAAAAAAATAAAAAATAAAATAGACAGCCAAGCATAATTTTAATTCTAAGGGAAAGTCATACTTGGTTCAAATCACATTTTTGCCTTTAACTTTAATTTTTTTCACTGACTTGACAAAATCTCTTAGTATCCTCAGTCTGTGTTATAAAACAGCAGAGGGACTTGTTTTATATATAGACCAAAATTTCTGATAGCTACCCACAGGGCCTTGAACCCTCCTGCTGAAGTACATGATTGAGGCACTTGTAAATAAAACAAATATAAACGCCAGTAAGAGGCCCTCTTTAATTAAAACGGTGCCAAATAACCAATGATAAGGAAGGCAAGGTGGACGTTAATAGCCTCTTAGTGCTTTTCCCTTGTTCACTCTTGAGCTAAGAACATCAAGTAGCATTGAGACACATTCAGACCCTCTCAAAATCTGTTTTATCTATAAGCCACTTTAAGAGTGAAACAACAGCTGTTACAAAAAGGTTAGAGAAAAGGGGGCACATAAAAAAACTGTTTTCACTGAAGGAATACAATATAATGTTGTTGGACATTGATATGTCAAACTATTAAAGCTGCAATGGAGCTTTTAACAACTAAATGTAAAAAAAAAACAAAAAAACATGTATTTATATTGAAATAGCATTGGACATTTGATCTCTTTGCCATTGTACACTCTTAAAGACTTTAAAACAGGAATTAAAACTTCACTACGCCTCATCACAACCAGGTTTTAGGTTGAGCTTTCAAAGAGGAAAACAAATAAAGAAACCAACAGGAGTAGGAAAGGGAAAAAAATTATAAAATGAAAAACTTTAATCAATTATTTTGTCAAGCCTGTAATGTTAAATGACATTAAGATCACCAAGATGAAACGCTTTAGAATCAGAGTGTAAAACATATATCTATGTTTTAAGATCCAATGTTGTTCAACTGTAAAATCTAAACTGTACCTTGTGATTTATTTAGACAAGCATAAACAAAATTCAGTATATGGTTAATAAAAACTAGTCTGGAATAATCTTTAAAACAGAATTTGTTGCTGACAAAGCACTGGCTCTTATTAATGAAGAGAAAAGTAAAGGATTTTTTTTTTTTTCCCAAAAAACTTTGCTAAATTCATATGATTTTCATATTATGCCAGTGGCCGAACGTTTAGGTCCAACCAAAGCCATCAATGATAAAAAAAAAAAAAAAAGAAAATACATATAGAAGCATCAAAGTAAAAAAGAAAAAAAAAAAATGATTCAAACATTCAAGAAAAATTCTGACTTACAACATAAGGCTTAGGGGGATCCCAGTGAACCCAGTCATAGATGACTGATTTTTCCTCCCTGGTCACATATTTTGCCCAAGGCGAGATGCGGTAGAGGCGTTTGCCCTCCTTAGTGTGAACAACCACCTGGGGAAACAAGATAAATGACTGTTATGGTAAAGCAAGGGCAATCTGAGAGTGACAGAAAGTGGAAAGAAAAAACAGCGGCTACAGTCAGTCAGCATACAGTTAAACAAAAAAACTAAACGGTTTTTCGTTGCTTTATCAGGTGAAGGGGTACTGGAAAACAATTAAAACCCAAAATGAAATCTCAAGTATTTTAGGACCTGATATTTTCAAAGTTAAACACCTAAAAGCACAGAAGCCAAAAAAAAGATGAAGATAATCAAAGGCCTCCATCTCTGAGATTTCTGCAGATTTCTTCTTCTAAATGTTTGTGATTTTACAGCCTGCATTTATTTACGCCTTCCAGCCATGAAATGCTTACATCATAAAACCAAGCCATTAGTCTCCTTCCATCACACACACAGAATGCGCAGACTGCTCAACCAATTAACTACAACTAAATTTTTTTTTTTTTACTTTGCTCCTCCACTTCGAGGAGCAAAATGTATAACTTGATCTTTTGTCAGAGAAAACAAGGCAACTAACTGCACAGTATTGACCAAACTCCTCTAAGGTAACCTGGATTCAGTGGTGATTATGCTGCATTATATTTGCCTGCATGGGGCAACTGATTGCTTTTTAATGCAGCAACTCACTGACTTGTCTTGAGAACGTATTTGAGCCAGGGAGCTGTTTAGGAAGAAAAAAAAAAGAAAAAGGGGACATCTAAATCATTATTTCTCGCCTTTCATCCATTATGTCCTGCAACTGAGGTTTGGAAGGGGGTAAAATAAACACACTTTGGAAATCTGACAAGTTACTTTGCTCTCATTGTCGAACAATAAAGGAGAAAATCAGTGTGGGAGTTGGGGAAAAAAGCCACCAAGAAATCGACGTATTACCCGCAGTATGTGTTCGCCCTATTTTGTCCCCTGCAGTAACGGGCATTAGAACTCAAGTAAATCTGGCCGCTGTTGTGAAGTAATGACCGCTCCAATGCCACCTGCCTGTGAGCCAATAGCTAGACTCCCCTCTAGGGTTTTTTCATTATGGGCAGGCCACCTAGGAGTTAGCTGCCTGGGTCCCAGTATGACATGCTTCATAGTTTATAGGATTAGGAAAAGATAGTTGGATAAATGGACTGGCATAAAGCCTGACAGAGAGCTGGTACTTCAGACAAATTGGCTAGAATTAGGAACATCAGAGAAAACTTTGACTACTGGGCAGACTGAAAGAGTGCCTGAGCCAGAAATACAACTTGGAGCAGGCCAGCAAGGCCAGAGAAATAGTGATGTTATCGTTTATGTTGCTGATCAGAAGTTTGCATCATCAGTATTAAAATATATTTTCTCTGTTTGCTAGTTTCTCAAATGATTCATTTTAACAGTTCTTTGTTTTACTATTGATGGCAATACATGTCAGTAATTTTCATGGCCAAGAACTGAGTGTATTAGTTTAAAGTTATCATGGATTTGGAGGATCCCCAAAGGGTAGAAACTATACCTCCCCAAATGAGTATTTAACCCCCGTTTTTGATGTTCTTAGCTCAATTAAAAATATCGGTTTCCTACTGCAGGGGAGTGGTGGCCTAGTGGTTATGGCATAGAGCTTGGAATCCTGACGTTCTGAGTTTAAGCCCCACTCCCAGAAACTGTCACTCTGGGTCTCTGAGTAAGACCCTTAACCCCACACTGCTCCCCAGGTGCAGCACAATGGCAACCCACTGAGCTTAATTTCTCCAATGTGAGGTTAATAAAGCTAATTATGAAATTATTATTATGCAGATGCTGTTGTACAGAATAGTGTACAATCTTTTTTCAAAGGGATTCAGGTTGGAGACGTTTCGTCATACACATTCTAAATCCAGTGGCATGTTCATATTGTCCTTTTAGAGCTCCTGGCTACCGTTTATGCCCAACTTCATGTTCTAGCTCTGTTTTAAAGAAAAATTTCAAGGAAGTTTCTTCATTTTTTCAAACCCACTTTCTAAACCATACAAATACTGCTGACATCAAATTAGCTTAATGGTTTTTTCCACTATACGTCGCAGTCTGTAAAACTTTCTAGAAAGCCTTGCCTTGAATGGCGTAACTATTGGTAAGCAGAGACTGCAGTTGCTTAGAGCCCCCGACCTCTTATGGGCCCCGTCACTGACACCTGGTAGGGCCCCTACGCAATTGTGGACCAAGATGTCTCTTTGCAGATGTAATGGTGTAAAAAATTCATCTTAAACCCACCTGATACTAGAGAGACTGACCGGAACTTATTTATACCCCAACACATGGCAGATTTCATGTTATACTTCATATGGGGCCCACCCAGATAACGTTGCTTACGGGCCTATTGTTGTTTCGTTACGCCAATGGTTTGGGTCCAATGGTTGAAACCTAAACTTATGTTGGTGTTCCAGCAAGACTAAGATTTTAAAGACTTATACTTTGGATAAGACTGAAAATGGCAAAAAAATTAAGGTTGAACATATTCCATTACAATGAATACAGGAATACTTTTAAGTGTTTGTAAAAGCTCAAACAGATGGACATTTAGAGTAACTCCACTCGTGGCTGTATAACCATCCCTTTAAACTAATTAAACTAAAATACACTAAATGCATCACCAACAGTCAGAAAATTTAAAGAAGAAGAACATCGATGCCAATGATGAGTGCATCTATACCTCTAATCTGCTCATTATTCCTATGTGTGCTTTTCCATGTTTTCCATCCTTTCCCATCCCAGAGCCAAAACCACATGAGTATACAGCCTGGGTATGAAGAGAAGAAAAAAAAGGCCTCCAACAATGGGACACAGAAGGTAAAACGGTCTCCTCCAAAGTGACTGGAGCTTGGGTTTTGCATCCACAAGTGAGAGATGTGGAAGTAATGCTAAAGTGGAGCTCACAGCAAGACCGCTATTCATCGGCAGCAGGGGTGCACAAGGAAAGGCCAGGTGCCAGCATTTCCATCTGCTTCTTATCGTCCTTAGACTGACCTCTACAGACAATGGGAGCTGGGCAGGCGATCCGGGGCACATGAGCGAGCCAATGATGACCCGTTCCCAAGGAGAGGGCCCATAGCGATGCCATCCTCTTCTCGTCTGGCACCATTTTTTGGGTTATTTCTCATGCATGCTGAGACAATGCATGAGGGGAGGTGTGTCTTCTGTGTTTAACCCTGAGGAATTATTTACTGAAGCTTAAAACTAATCATGAGGATGGAATGTGGGTTGCATTTTGAAGGAGGAAAAAAAAAAAAAAAAAAAAAGAAACACAGCCCTCACAGTGCGCAGATGGAAACTGAAACCAAAGCCATCAGTCGAACTCCTCAGGTGTATCTGCTCTCCACTGTGAAAGTCTGTGTACATACAGTAATCTCACTTCTGCCCTGTGATTATGACATGTTGTTGATGGCGACATGCCAGGTTTCCACTTGGTTCTAAGACACCACACACGACAGCTTGAAAGTGACAACTCTTTGTGCTGCCACGGCCAGACGTCACCCAGTGAGAGCGTGAAAACAAGCATGAAGACGTTCTGTTCCTTACCTTCAGCTTGGTGTAATGATCCACAGCTGGGGAGTTGTCAGGCCTCGGTGGAAGAATCAATTCCCACTTGCCAAACTCTTTCTTGGAGTAAGGGTGGGCAAATTTGTCCCAGCCATCTATGGGGAAATAGTTAAAATATTCATAACACTTTTGATCAGGCCACGATAATGCAAAGGGGGGGGAAAAAGCTATAAAAGAATGAATAAAAGAAACGACACATTCATGTCAGATAAGAATATTAGTTCTGCTTAGCATTCATTTCAATCTTTCCCATTATAATTACATAAGATTAGCACAAAAGGACAAAATTTCTGTTAAGGACACTTTTTCTGAGAGTGTAACGATTTAGGCAAATATTTTATTTGTACTGCTTGTAAGGATGTTTATTTACAACAAAAACAACTTAGTTCCACTTTTTAGCCAAAACCTTTATTTTTTGCTTCAGCTGTGGAGGTGAAGAGGTTAGTTAAGAAAAATTTCTGTGAATACAAAGATTTTTTTTCTATTTTACACAATAAATAGTAAATTACCCGTTTTATTCCCCCAAGAAAGGATATATGTATCTATTGGATACATGTTAAAATTATCTTTTTTTTTTTGCCCAAAGAAAAACTCCAAAAAAACATTCATTCAAAGCCCATGTACACAATTTGTTGGGGTATTTGTTTTACCAGTCATATCTGTAACTCAGGAAAGTGTTGATTTTCAAGCCTCGATCATTTACGGCATAATGGTTTTCCATCATGCAAGTGGAAATTAGTAGATTTAGAATAAAAATGAAAATAATCACATAAAAAATGTGTTTAATACAGTAACTGCCATTCAAAATTGGCCTTCCCAGTCAAACACCAGCCGAATAGCAGCCCACTTCCCAGCAGCTTCCAGCAAAATCCCTTCCAACTTCCAGCCACTGGCCTTCTCCTGGGTGTGCATTTTTTTTTTTACTCTGACTCCACACCTTCACTGAATTACATGGTCTGACCAGGAGATGATGCTACTCTTTAGATCTTAATTTCCTCAAATCATGAAAGAAATAATATTTTAGTACAAAGATTGATGTTTAAAACAAAATTATAGACCAGCCAAGTAAAGCAGGCAAATTTTGGATGGCTACTACTGTATTTTGAAGAGATTTACACAACAGGACAATATTGTAATACCTGCAGTATATTCAAATAACATAGCCATAAAGTTTTTTTTTGTTTAAAAAGTACAATGGAGTATTAGAGACATGCTAGAGACTTTTTCTTTTTTCCATTTAATAATAAAGTCGTAAAATAACGAGAAAAAGGTCACAAAGAATAGTCATAAAATTGTAACATTACGAGAATAAAGTTGTAACACTACAAGAATAAAGTCATAAAATTACGAGAATAAAGTTGTAACACTATGAAAATAAAGTCATAAAATTACAAGAATAAAGTCAGAAAATTACGAGAAAAAAGTCGTAACAATTTGAAAATAAATTTATAAAATTACGAGAATAAAGTCAGAAAATTATGAGAATAAAGTTGTAACACTATGAAAATAAAGTCATAAAATTACAAGAATAAAGTCAGAAAATTACGAGAATAAAGTCATAACAATTTGAAAATAAATTTATAAAGTTACGAGAATAAAGTCAGAAAATTACGAGAATAAAGTTGTAACACTATGAAAATAAAGTCATAAAATTACAAGAATAAAGTCAGAAAATTACGAGAATAAAGTCATAAGAATTTGAAAATAAATTAATAAAATTACGAGAAAAAGTCAGAAAATTACAAGAACAAAGTCAGAAAACTACAAGAATAAAGTTGTAACATTACGAAAATAAAATTATAAAATTACGAGAATAAAGTAGTAAAATTACGAGAATAAAGTCGTAAAATTACGAGAAGTAAAAAAATTACGAGAATAAAATCGTAACAAATCGATTTGACAAATAAGTAAATCTTTTAGCACTCCAGTATCAAATTGGGCAGGATGTCAGAGTGGACTAAGGTTACCGTTTGGTTATGCTGACCGGCCGTCATCTGCTGGTCAGAGCTCGAAGCTTTTTTTCTGAAACGTGTTGTGGTATGATGACTTCATTCTCATAATATTACAACTTTATAATAAAAAATAAATAAAAAAAATCTCTAACCTGGCCCTAATACTCCATTGTAAAAAAGAAATGAGGGAGTTGAGGAACAAAAGGAAAAACAAATATCTCCAAAATACAGAACTTGGTAAAATTAGATTAAACAAAAAAAAAAAAAAATGTAAAAACTGTTCCAGATGAGCAAGCGGAAGAAAAAACAGCTAATCTTTATTCAAATTTTACAAAATTTCCCCCCTCAAAGACAAATAACCCGTTGCTGTGTATGTGATTGCTATACTGATCATGTGACTATTGAGACACAAAAAGATGCATCTATAGGCACCAACATCCAGCAAGAAATATAAACAAACAATATAAAAAAATGAAACTGCGCTGTGATTCTTACATGTAAAGCCAATAAGAGTAGAGTGCCTTTTAAACCACAATACTATTTCTCTGTGACCAACAGAAAACAAAATATTTACTATAATGTGACCACCATGGCCTTTCTATTTAAGATGTTTTCATTCTGTTATACATGTGCATTGACTATTCATGAGCAGAAACAAGACCAGATAGAAAATGAATCACAGGAGATACTGTGGAAGTGTACAGGGGCAACCACAGCACTTTTCACAGGTAAGAAGAGTTGATCTTCTTCACTATTTATTTATCGTCCTTAGCCTAATCTCGTCTGGAGAAAACTAAAAATAACATAAAGACAACAGTACATTATGCATCAAAAGTGTACCATATTCATGACTAGGGCTGCTGGGCCATTTCCACATTTGCTATGAAATTGAAATCAAATAATATGATTGAGCCATGTCAAAATGTAATCTCTCACAGAACTGAATGTTGGAACTTGGAAGTGAGCTGGTGCCCAAGCTCCTGGGAAAATAATCAAAAGGAAAGCGAAGTGCAGGAATACAGAGAAAGGAAAGCGCAGATGCAGAGCTAACTAGCACCAAAATTAACACAAAAAAAACAACAAATTGACATATTTCCATTTTGCCAACTGAATCAATCGGAATGCATTAGAATTTCGACAAATACTAATCACACACATTTTTACTGTAGGAAAGAGATCAAAGCTTTACTGTGCTGCTGCCTTTGGAGCAAACATTGGTCTCCGGATGGGTTAAAACTATCCCTAAAAAAACCATCTGAAGCACTTATCCTCTGTTAAATGAATGTTTGTGATGCCCGCTCTCACCATTCTGTCTTTTTTTAATTAACGACTTTTCCTTGGAAAATAGTTGCTATAATTGTTTTTCGTCCATTATTGCAAAGACTTGACAAATGGTAAAGGAAAAAACTATTCGTATTAGAAAGGCTCTACAACAAGAATATTGTCACCTGTAAACACTATTTAATTTATTTGGCACTGCATTTTACTGTAGTTTTAAAAATATGAATTCCTTTTCTTATTATAAAACAAGTTCTCCGTTAGGGTTTATCCACATTTCTGTGAACGATTCCAATACTAATTTGAGGTTCAGGTCTGTTTTTTATCCAGAAATCCCTCCAAAAAGGTGAAAGCTTCATTTAAAAAAAAACAAAAACAACTATTACTAAATGTTGTTTTTGTTTTTCAAACAGAAAGGAAATTTCAGTTTTCATTCCAAAAATACATACTCTAGACTTAAATTTCAAGATTATTTTTTGGTAGGTAATATTTACCAAATTGTGGTTAAAGATGACTCTCTGTATTGTGTTTTGCATTGCATTTATTTGACCTAAATCTAAACATGAGGATTCAATACAAATATAGATTCCCTATTAGTTGAATCAATGACTTAAAAACACATAACTTTCTGAAATTTCAGATTTTATCTTTCAAATGATGGAATGAAGCCTGGAGAGTCAAATATTTTTCTAAAATTAATATTTTATTCTTTTTGTTAAACTAGAAAACTGTTTATCAAATTAAATTTTTCCTAAATTAAAAACTGTGTAGAATTCCTGTCGAACCAAATCAATTCTTGTCTAACACAGGAAGACTCTTGTCTAGGTTTTGCTGCTTGATTTCAGTTTAGGAAGAGTCTCATATGTTTGTCTCCTTTCTGCTACATCTGCACATCATAATAAAAGTTTCTTCAAATGATGCTCTAGTGCAGTTGGACAGCGTTTTTCTTTCCTGTAAGGCATATGGCACTGCAGCTTCCAAGCTGCTCCAGCTGTAAGCACACCATTGAATGTGTCAGCACACCACAGCCTCTTGGTGCTTTCCTTTGTGACCATGACCAGAGCCATCAAAGCTCTGCTCAATCGATGTGTTGCAACACCAGAGTTCTGCTGAAGTCTTGACAGCCCTGCCACAGAATGGAGTCACAAGTTGCCGCGGTCAGTGAAAAACACACAGAGCCTTGGTTGAGTAACACCCTCGGCCATCTGTCAATGCTTCAACATTATAATTTTGGCTTGTGGAAAAAAAAAAAAAAAAAAAGAAACAGAAATGGACGAGGAGTCCTCAAGCCACTCTGGTAAGAATCAGAAAAACATCGGAAATCACTGAATCCTGTAAAACACTCAGTTGTTATAAAGAAAATACAACAAGCACAGGCTTTATCCCATTTTTATATCATTATTCTTAACATAGGCCAGCCTAAAAAAAAATTAAAAAAAAGTATCGACCTATACTGATTTTTAAAGTTTATGAACTTGGGAATAAATATTTCAGGGAAAATGTGATAGTTGCAGCTTTTTAACAACTTTAACAACAATGATTAAATGAACCATGTACTGAAATATTAACACAAATACTCTACCCTGAAAAGATTAGCCTTTAATATGCAGGTGTAATCAATATCTCCTATGTTTCCTTATCCCTTGAAGGTTGCCTAAAGGAGACAACGCTTCTACAATATGCTGACCTTTTTCCTACGCATTTAATCATTTTAGAGGTATTACATAAAATTCAAGAAATCCTGTGCAAACTGAAAAATAGTTAATCTGTTGAGCATGAAAAGGGAAAAAAATTTTTTTGAATGACCCAAGCAACTTACTGAAATCACCAGTAAGGAAAAGGGCCTCAGCAGCTGGAGCCCATTCCTTGAAAAAGAGGCTGTTGTCAGGCAATCGCTGCACACCGAAGCTCAGGTAGCTGCGTGTGAACTGGTCAACACCTCCCTCCGCCTCCTCCAAGAGGAAAAGCTGCTTCTTCAGCAGCTCATACCTTTAAACAAACACAGATTATAAATTGGCAAGACAAATATACAGCTTCACATACATCATTTAGGATGTGATAAAAATTATACATTAAATTTAAAAAGGCCTAGGTTTAATCCCAATATTTTAACTTGACTAGCCTTTTAGTTTTCCTATATATGCACAGAATTGTGTGGTAATTTTTCTGGGGGATTTTCAGCGCTCAACTTTCTTAAACATTTGCGACATCTGAAAGGCTGCATATTGCTTGCCAACTTTGTAAATCCATGTGAGAGAGATGCACAAAAATACTGGCAGATGACCCCATAAACCTGTCGGAATGTTGGTAGTATAGCAGAGAACGAGGCATGATTAAAATCACTGGTTATTTGCCACAAATGCTTTTGGCCTTTGTGTCTGTAGCTTATGCCGCTGTTACACCTTGAGCCTGACGTCGAAAATCAGGCCTATGTTGGCATATGTTGTACAAGTTATGGGTGCATTTTGCAAAAGTTATGAGCCAGTGAAACACGCTAAAACATGCTGGCACACGTCGATATACGGCAAGTATGTCGCGAAATTTGAGCATGCTTAATGTCAGCTTATGCTCATGCGTGGGGCATAAGTTACAGGCAAGTTATCTGATCATTGACATAGGTTAAGTGGAAGTTGCTCATTATTCGTGGTGTATAGCTCATCCAAAACCTATGAGTAACTTGTGCATGACTTATGTGTAACTTATCAAGAACTTTTCTCAATCACCTATCGACGTACTTAACATATTCCAGACCACAGCTGAACATGTTTCTAACTTAGAGCTACTGTATAATGGCGTATTGGCAGCTTTTTGGTATAAAAGGGGGTTCACAGGAGGAAACCGTCAGTACTGCTGATACCGACGCTACATGCAGCGTCGGTATCAGCAGAAGGTGAAATGTAAACGGTTAACAAAAGAACACTAGTGAACTTTTTAGACCAACATAAATGAAAGCCAACTGCCAACAGCTCAGAAGCTTGGCTGCAGATGTGATTCTTCAAAGCAACATGTCCTGGATGACACCATTTGATATTCACAAACACTACCAACCCATTTCCCACTAGCTTTCCAGTGCACACTAGGAAAATTCTGTTGTCTAATCTACTTGGGTCCAGGCTAGGATTGGAGTTCTTAGACTTGTTTACTAAAAATCTTATATTACCTATTATGACTGATGGAAGTGACGGCTTTAATTTCCTGCTCTCCACTCTTTGCTACAGCCTTGCATCCTCAGCACTTCTCTTTGCTCTTTGGTTAAAAAAAAATCCAACTTCCTTTGATATGGTTATGAATCATAACATAGGTCCAAAAAGGGAGGAAAAAATACCAGCAAAAATCCTTCCAGTCTTAAAAAAGAACATCAAAATCAAAATAGCAGAGGTGGTGTTCAGCCGCCTTAAGTAGTGCGATTTTAGGTAACAGGACATTATAAACAACTGCACACTTACCCCAAAGGGACATTTTTAGAGGCAAATTACATTCTTAGCACTGGATAATGAAACAGGAGCAAACGCCGGTATGAACGTTGAAACTTTATGAAAGACCCCAGGCCAGAATTTTAACCCAAGGACATTCCAACTGCTTAACAGAAAAAAATATTCTTTATCCTTTTTCTTATAATGCGGCATTGGAAAATGTTCCCAGCCTTTAGGAGTACTGAGACCTAAAGCAAGGTAGTACATTCACATTAAGTTTGACACATCTACATTCTGTACAGAAATGAGATGATATTTCTAAGACATTGTTTGCAGCACTGTATCGCATATTATGGTCAACTCTAGGGGTCAGTGTAAGGTACCATCTTCAGACTACAACACCACATTAGGTAGATCATAACACATTCAATGTCTATTTATGTAATTTAAGAGTGAGTGTACAATTTATTGACAATAGTTGTTTACAATTTGTTGATAGAGGTGATTCTTAGAGATCAAATTTTATAGGTCTGTAGATGTTTATATATGCTATTCCTCACAAGAAGGAGCTGTTGCTTGTCCACATTTTTGAAATACAACTGTCTGGTTAGTTATATATTTTTTCTATGTGGGTGGTGAGGAAAATTCAAACAGCGCAGAAGCCTCAGAGTAGTATGGAAGCAAATCGTTACCATATTTCAAATGAAAAAGCATTTCCAGAAATGCTTTTTCATTTTAAGAATGTGGCTGCATTGTTTGACTCATAAATGAAATTAGTAATCAATAATCCTGTTTGCATTTTCATTTTCTTCTTCAACACTGCTCATCCTTTTACTTAATTAAAATGAAAAAGACATTTGAGATTTATTTTTCAAAAAGCACCCCAGCAAATACATACCAAAATTCAATTTGAAATGAAAAATTTGAAAATGAAAAAGCATTTCCAGAAATGCTTTTTCATTTTAAGAATGTGGCTGCATTATTTGACTCATAAATTAAATTAGTAATCAATCATCCTATTTGCATTTTCATTTTCTTTTTCAACAACGCTCATCCTTTTACTTAATTAAAATGAAAAAGAAAAAGACATTTTAGAATTATTTTTTCAAAATGCACCCCAGCAAATACATACCAAAATTCAATTTGAAAATGAAAAAGCATTTCCAGAAATACTTTTTCATTTTAAGAACGTGGCTGCAAATATTTGACTCATAAATGAAATTAGTAATCAATCCTCCTATTTGCATTTTTATTTTCTTCTCTAAGACTGCACATTTTATGCCATAATCAAGGAGAAAACACAGCGGACATTGCTTTTTCGTTTTCATGGTCTGCCTGCAAAGTACTGTCCACAACTCGAAAACGAAAAAGCATTCTGAGCGGCAGGGGCAGCAGAGTGACGTCTTTTTCTTTTTCATTTTAATTAAGTAAAAGGATGAGCAGTGTTAAAGAAGAAAATGAATATGCAAATAGGATGATTGATTACTAATTTCATTTATGAGTCAAATAATGTAGCCACATTCTTAAAATGAAAAAGCATTTCCAGAAATGCTTTTTCATTTTCAAATTTTATATTTCCAATTGAATTTTGGTATGTATTTGCTGGGGTGCATTTTGAAAAATAAATCTCTAATGTCTTTTTCTTTTTCATTTTAATTAAGTAAAAGGATGAGCAGTGTTGAAGAAGAACATGCAAACACAGGATTACTGATTACCAATTTCATTTATGAGTCAAACAATGCAGCCACATTCTTACAATGAAAAAGCATTTCTGGAAATGCTTTTTCATTTGAAATATGGTAACGATTTGCTTCCATATTATATCAGAGAGGGGCATTGATGCTAAAATGATACACTTTGGCCACGCACCGCCATCATGGATGCGTCAAGCAGATACACTATATTGCCAAAAGTATTTGCTCACCTGCCTTGACTCACATATGAGCTTAAGTGACATCCCGTTCCTAATCCATAGGGTTCAATATGACGTCGGTCCACCCTTTGCAGCTAGAACAGCTTCAACTCTTCTGGGAAGGCTGTCCACAAGGTTTAGGAGTGTGTTTATGGGAATTTTTGACCATTCTTCCAGAAGCGCATTTGTGAGGTCGCACACTGATGTTGGACGAGAAGGCCTGGCTCTCAGTCTCCGCTCTAATTCATCCCAAAGGTGTTCTATCGGGTTGAGGTCAGGACTCTGTGCAGGCCAGTCAAGTTCATCCACACCAGACTCTGTCATCCATGTCTTTATGGACCTTGCTTTGTGCACTGGTGCACAGTCATGTTGGAAGAGGAAGGGGCCAGCTCCAAACTGTTCCCACAAAGTTGGGAGCATGGAATTGTCCAAAATGTCTTGGTATGCTGAAGCATTCAGAGTTCCTTTCACTGGAACTAAGGGGCCAAGCCCAGCTCCTGAAAAACAACCCCACACCATAATCCCCCCTCCACCAAACTTTACACTTGGCACAATGCAGTCAGACAAGTACCGTTCTCCTGGCAACCGCCAAACCCAGACCCGTCCATCAGATTGCCAGATGGAGAAGCGCGATTCGTCACTCCAGAGAACGCGTCTCCACTGCTCTAGAGTCCAGTGGCGGCGTGCTTTACACCACCGCATCCGACGCTTTGCATTGCACTTGGTGATGTATGGCTTGGATGCAGCTGCTCGACCATGGAAACCCATTCCATGAAGCTCTCTGCGCACTGTTCTTGAGCTAATCTGAAGGCCACATGAAGTTTGGAGGTCTGTAGTGATTGACTCTGCAGAAAGTTGGCGACCTCTTCGCACTATGCGCGTCAGCATCCGCTGACCCCGCTCCGTCAGTTTACGTGGCCTACCACTTCGTGGCTGAGTTGCTGTCGTTCCCAAACACTTCCATTTTCTTATAATACAGCTGACAGTTGACTGTGGAATATTTAGGAGCGAGGAAATTTCACGACTGGATTTGTTGCACAGGTGGCATCCTATCACAGTTCCACGCTGGAATTCACTGAGCTCCTGAGAGCGACCCATTCTTTCACAAATGTTTGTAAAAACAGTCTGCATGCCTAGGTGCTTGAATTTATACACCTGTGGCCATGGAAGTGATTGGAACACCTGATTCCAATAATTTGGATGGGTGAGCAAATACTTTTGGCAATATAGTGTATGTACATTTACATCTGCAGGCACATTGCAAAAAAAATATGATTACGATAAAAAAAAAAATTGACATTTTTGTCACTTATTTCAGAAGGTAAAACTAATATACTGCATTATTCATATTAGCTTTTTTTTTTCCAGTTCTTTTTTTCCTTGGAGTTTTTTTTTTTTTCAGCTTTGTGCTGGAGCAACACTGTACAGCGCCAAACAGGACCACAATGTCACATTGATAAGCTGTATGTAGGTAGGAGTTCTACAGGGAAAGACTACTGGAGTTTGTTCAGGTAATAGAGAATTACAAAACAAAAGTCTAGAAATAAGGAAAAAAAAGACAGTAAATACGAAAAATAATTAGGATCAAAATGCACCAAAAGGTAAATGTATGTTTCATTGCAAGTTTGAACTTGAAACTTACCAACACTACTACTAGTAATACA